TTGTCTGCATGTATATGAGCAGAAATATTTAAAACAAATGAGGTGATCATGGCATTTCCTTGTTAATGTTTGACTGAGTTTATATGATCTTGAACAGAAAACTTGGCATCTGGCTGAGCTTGTTGGTTTCTTTCTGGTTGTGTTTATATGTATTTGCAGATGGGGAAACTACAAGCAGTGGTGGAAAATGTAGGTTCTGGGTTGTTTAAATTATATTTTAAGCCTGATTGCACCCTGGCCCTTGGAACTCCAGGCATGATCCCTGCTAGTAACTAAAATTATTTGAATGTTATGGGGCAAAGTTATATTTAGTTTGTGTTTGGAGAAAGAATAACAACGACGGCAGCTGCATTCTCATCACTTCTTCCCGAGTCACATCCTCAGATGTCAAATCCCACCCTTCTCCCTCAGACAGAATATTAAGAAATTAGTCTCTCAAATTATTGGGTTGAGGACAAGGAGGACTTAGGAAAACCTGCCCCACTGGGCTTGTGTTGAGGTGGGGCTTAACTTTCTGAGCGAGCTCCTTCTGTTCAGACAGGCTGTAGAACCAGCTGCGCCCTCTCCGCTGTGATGGGGCTTAAAAGCAGTGCCCCGTGGCCATAGAGAGCTGTCCTTGCCTGGTGGAGAACTGCAAGAGTTCCCTCTCCCTTCCTGACTACAAAAATGCCTAAAAATCTTGGATGGAATATCTACCTAGAGCCTTGTTTTCATGCCTATATCCCATGAAAAATACTGCAGGAGGAAAATGCTGTGTTCAGAAGCATCACCAATTGGAGATTCTCAGCACTTAAAATAGGTGGATGTTTCCAAGAATCACTGCCTAATGGCTAAGAAATTGGGGGAGCACAGTGTAGAGACCCCTCCAGGATTTACACTCAGGGCCAGAGGGCACTTGCTCTCTGCTGCTCCACCTTGAAAGGGTCCAGGAGCTTTGACCTGTGAGTGCAGGCGCATTGCAGTTGACAGGATTCATTTCCCCCTGGCCAGAAAGATGATCCATATTAGCATTAATTTTGCATTGGTAAATATATGAAGTCACTATTTTAACAGCCTGGTTTAATGAAATGTTTTCAGGTTTCAGAATGATCCCTTATGGTTTTGCTCCCCAGCTCCTGGGGTGTTGCCTTGCCTACAAACAAGGCAGGAGCAGTGCTATAGTGAGCAGCATAGGGTATTGCGCTCAATTAGAGCATTTCTGCTCGCACACGACACAAAGCTGAGCCCAGGACAGCAGAGATCATGGCTCTGGCTGCTTGAGCAGCAATTTCATCTGCCTTTTACTGCTGCCTTAGAGCCCGGGACAGACGCCGGCAGCGGCGAGGGATGGGAAGTCAGTCAGCGCCAGGGCTCAGGCTGTTTTTACCTCCCTGGCAGCTGTAGGTGAAGCAGCAGGTGCTTTCCTGGGATTCTGCCTGGCTGAGCAGCTGTAGATGTGTATCCAGCCTGCAGGGCCCGAGTGCTGGGCTCCGCTCCCGCACCGCGCACTCAGCTGTGAGCGCACGCGTGCCCCAGCCCTGCGGGGTCACACACGGGGACAATCCCAAAGCAGCGCCTTGGGAGGGCTGGCTGGGCACTCTGCTCTCCTGGACACCCCCTGGCATGTTAGGGACCAGTGCTGGAGGGTGGGGAGCTCCTGTCAGCAGCGGGGCTGCGCACGGGAAATGGGCTGGCTCAGCATGTTTTTACTACATCTTTTTATCATGCAGTAGGAGATGGAACTGCTACAGAGAAACCTTGGACTTTAATTTCCAAGAGAACCTGAGTAATGCTGAGCAGCCTAATATCTGGATTCAGAGGGGGAAGGTGTTTTTGCCTAGATGGGGCAGATATTTTTGCCTAGATAGTGCAGATTTGCCTAGATAGTGTGTGAGGCAGCTCTGTGTCAGTAGCACCCGCTGCCCAGAGGATATTGGAGAAGGGCCTTTTTGCAAAACAAACTTACCGCTCTCTGTTGCCTCCCCTGATGCCTCTGATGGTGCAGAGTGGTGAGATGTGCCAAAGTGTGTCTTGACTGGAAAAGCATTCATCCGTCACTGTTGCAGTCCCAAGGCAGGGCTCTGCAGATATGTAGTGAAATAAGACCCAATGAATGCCTGTACATGAGAAAGAGAGACTGACATCCCGATGATATCAATATTTTATTCTTGCTGTAGCCCAGCTTCAGGAGGTCCAGCTACCATTGGCTTGCCAGGGCGTCTGAAGCCTCTGGCGTATGTGAAGGTGCTGAGTTATATTGTGGTTCTTTGTAAACACAGTAGTAAATTACCGTATTGCAATAATAACCATGGTGCTTGATATTTACATCAGAACACTGATTCCAGAGAGTACAGCTTGAGCAGAAAGTTATTAATGCAAAGATGGTAGGTAATGAAATGGAAATACTTACAGCAGAAACAAGGCCTTATCATCTTTGTCCTAGAGCCGTACACTACTGAGAAGTGCATGCTGTATCTGGCAAAATTCACAGCAGGAAAAAAGAGTGAGGGGAGGGTTTTATTCCTGTTCCTGAGAAAGCTGCTGGAGGAGCTAATGAAGAGCTGCAGTAATGTTTTAAGGCCGAATGGCTCTGAGAAACGCACCCATTTCTAAATGTCATAAAGGTCTGCGGATAGATCCTGTGACAGGGACCGATCCAACAATTCCTCAGAATGAAAGGTCAGTCAAAGGAAAATGGCATTTAGGAGGACCAAGCTTACCACTGACCCAAACATGTGACAGATCCAGAGGCAACTCTGGTGCCATCAGGAGCCCCGCCTGTGCAGGCTGCCCCAGAGGAGCTCATGACGTGACTGGGAAACTATCTGATTCCTCCAGGTCTCCAAATTCATCAGGAGTCACCATGAGTGTCGGAAGGAAAGGGGTTTTGAAGGAGCCTACAGCAGGCTTCCAAGCTGGGAGGAGAGTGCTCCTCTCCCCACTGTCCCTGCTTGCCCTGCACCAAGCATTTTTTTTCCCAGTACTAATTATAGATCTGTTTTTGTCATTTGAATATGCATGAAGTAGAGTCCTGGCTCACAGGCAGGTTGCAGTGAAGCTACTCGTAAAGTTTGACTTGGTTTGATAGGGCTCTGAGTCAGAAAGGGACCTCTCCAAGGGCCAGCCCAGAATTTCAGCAAGTCTGTGGACTTGTCTGGGCATTTCAGCTCCTTTGCACCAGTGAGTGCCTCATGTAGGGAAATAGAAACTGGGGGCAGATTCTCACCCAGTGTTTGTGAATTCTGCCTTATCAAAGGCAACACACAGAGCCCCTCTTCATGGGTGGATTTTCATTTTAAAATATTCAGCAATGCAATTTGTGTCAGACCAGCATTCAGAAGGTCTTGGGGTTGTCTCTCCATCCACAGAGAAGGTTGGAAATCTCACAAGGTGAAGAACATAAGGGTGATTTGGAATTTTTAGAAACACCTGGACAGGCAGGATTTCTCAGGTGTTTTGCCAGTTCCCTTGGAGTATGGGAGGATACCATCACCCCCATGATCTGTCCCACAGGTAACTGCAGAAGATGTGAAGGGGTGGGTGTTATCTTTGCCTTCTTTGTTTTTTTTTTGTTATCTCTGACTTTTTCAGAATAAGTGCTCTCAAGGTCCTTACTTCGGGTCATTAGGAGTTCATCAGAATCTGAGTGTGCCTCAGACCCATTGATTTAACCAGCCTCTTAGTTAAACTCTTTAATAAGTTAGTTCACCACTCTGTTCTCAGCTTGAGCAGCATTTCTTTTCACCAGCAAAGCTGCAAAATTCATGGGTGAGATTCAACATGAGTAACTGCAACAGCAGCTCTGGAGTCATTCAGGAGCTGGACTGTATGTACTGCCTCGGTAATGCTGAGGAAAAATCAAGCAGACTTTGGAATAATAGGAATTAGTCACGAGGAAGTGCAAATATGAGCTCTGTAGTTTATTCCCTGTGGGTCCAATCCTGCAAAACGTTAGGAACAGGAGTAAAATATGAGGGAACAGTTCCAAATCCCACAAACATCTTGTGGGTTTTGGGTGCAACTCAGCATCAGCAATTCTTAGCAAAACATTTTGTCCTTGTGCAAGAACAGGGCACTTATTATCACACCCATTAATAGACTATTCTGGGAAGAGCACCGCTATTGCAATCTGTGTAGAGAACTTGTGCAATTAATGAAAAGGCAGAAAAGGCAGATGCAGGAAAAAGTCTCTCAACTTTTCAGAGCCTTGGGAAGGAATTTCAATTGGAATTCAGCTATGGGAGCATTCCTGCCGCTGGAGTCTTTATCACTTCTTTTTTCTGATTGTTGGCCTGTCCAAGTGCATCCTGTTATCATGTGGCAAACAGTGTTTTTAGTCTGACATTCCAGGGACACTCTCTTTTGTATGAAATTATCACCTTTTACAAAGAGCAAATATTTGTCAAGTGGGTCAAACCGGCAGGGTTGCTAAGGAAATTTATAAAAATATCCTCTTTTGGACTATAAGCAATGTTAACATATCAGGCTGAGCTGTGTCTTTTATTGAAGCACTACTCAATGAATTTTCTGTGTTCAACAACTGCAAGCTTATGTGTCTCTGATAAAGCCCATGTGGTGACTATTAAAGGGAATTACTGTATATACAGCATGAAAGAATTAAAACATTTGGGGGGTGTGGGGCAGTGTTTTGTTGTAAGCACCACTCCTGTTACTAATTTTACCTTCAAGATAGGTGTTAGGTTTAAATCAACCACAGTTTCTTTACCAAATACACCAGGAAAGTTTGTGGTTGGGCTCCTTCTTGTGACAGGAAAATGCTGGAAAAGCAATAGAGCCTCAGAGCCAGGCTACCCTGGTGGGTTAGCGTGAGCTGCAAAGCTGCACCTTCAAGTCTCTGTAATTGCTGACATTTCCAGCCTTGGTTGGAAGTGATTTTTGGTAAGCACCTTCTATTCTGTACAGCAGTCAGCGTAATGGCCGGATTGATGACACAGCTTTGAATCAGTGCTGCGTCACTGGCAAAAGCCATAACAGCTGTTGCTGTCTCTGCTCTTTGCTAGGCCCCCCCAGGATCGCTGACAAAGTGATTCACCGCCAGTCCGTGAGGCTGGGCAGGACCATCAAGCTGCTGTGCCCGGTGGAGGGCGACCCGCCGCCCCTCACCATGTGGATGAAGGACGGGCGGACCATCCACAGCGGCTGGACGAGGTTCCGCATCCTCCAGCAAGGCCTGAAGATCAAGGAGGTGGAGAGCGAGGACGCGGGCACCTACATCTGCAAGGCCACCAACGGCTTCGGCAGCGCCAACGTCAACTACACGCTCATCGTCATCGGTGAGTGCGGCCGGGCACCGCCAGGCCTCGCCTGCTCTGGGGCCACAAACAGAGCTCATTTCCATGCAGCTGCCAGAGATTGCAGATTTGCGCTGTGTTGGGGAAGGTGAAACAGGAAAGCCTTATAGATATGATTGCCTGGCAAAAGATTTGGAGAATATAGAAGCTGTAAGGGAAATTGAAATGAAAGCAAGGTTTGAGATCCCTTAGTTACTGAACAACTGGAAAACAATGGTGTGGCTGGGCTGAAGGCGATGCCCTTTTGATGAAAGAACACCCTCTGCTTGCAGACAGGCCCAAGGGTCAGAGCAGCCCCTGCCAGCTTGGCAGAAGGGGCCCAAAGAGGAGTTTTTAGGGTTTAAAATGTAACACAGTATGGTAATGTAATGATTCTTATAGGCAGTATGTAAATGCTATAAGATTTGTATATTGTACTAGATTGGTTAGTGAGAATTAGAATATTCAATACAGAAGAAGATTTATTGTATTGTAAAGGGAACCTCACTCTCTTACGCTTTTGCTCTCTCACCCTTTTACGCTCTTACCCTTTTTACTCTCTTAGCTTTTTTACTCCCTTATGCTCTTACCCTCTTACTCTCTTACCTTCTCATCCTCTTTACCCCTGTCTCTCTTCTCTCGGGCCTGCTCTGAGCTGTGGCTGGCAGCTCCAAGCAGGGCCCTGCACCCAGGCCCTGTGCAATAAACCCCAAATCCCAGCAGGGCCCTGCACCCAGGCCCTTTGCAATGAACCCCAAATCCCAGCAGGGCCCTGCACCCAGACCCTTTGCAATGAACCCCAAATCCCAGCAGGGCCCTGCACCCAGACCCTTTGCAATAAACCCCAAATCCCAGCAGGGCCCTGCACCCAGGCCCTTTGCAATGAACCCCAAATCCCAGCAGGGCCCTGCACCCAGGCCCTGTGCAATGAACCCCAAATCCCAGCAGGGCCCTGCCCCCAGGCCCTTTGCAATAAACCCCAAATCCCAGCAGGGCCCTGCACCCTTTGCAATAAACCCCAAATCCCAGCAGGGCCCTGCACCCAGGCCCTTTGCAATAAACCCCAAATCCCAGCAGGGCCCTGCACCCAGGCCCTTTGCAATGAACCCCAAGTTCTAAAACCTGGCTGCAGAGATCTCTCTGTCCATCCTGACTGTCTTACCCCCTGACTCTCCAGCAGCTCTGCTAATCATTCACTGGCCTCCACTCTTAGCTGGCCCCTCCGGTGTTTGAGGATGGCCAGGGCTGGCAGTGCTGCTGCGCATCTTCTGCTGCAGCCGGCTGCCGGCTGATAAGATTGCAGAGTGCCAAAGGTTACACATAAACAGAAATGATGCAATAGCCACCGGGGTCCAGATCACAATGAATTCCACACAGGAAAGGCTGTGTGATAAGGAGAGGTCACACTGATCTTTATGTTTGCTGTTGGAACAGGATAGCTCTCAAAACAAATGTTGGAGCGCCTGTATGAAAACGCACAGTGGGGAGATCCATGTGCTGAGCTGCTGTAAAGCATGGTGTCTTCAGGAATAATAATATCTGGGTTGAAACAAAGCTCTGAGCTGGCATGTAACCCAGGGATGCTTGGCTCCTGAGAAATCTTGGTGGAGGCAGGATTAAGAAAGCTTCAGATGCTGTCTCGGTGACCATGGGTTCATTGGCAATGCTTTTGACATTTTCAAAAGGCTTGCTTGGCCCAGCAATGAGATTTTGGGGCTACTCCAAAGACTCCCAAAGACATTTCTCTGGGTAATCAGAGATTCCTCTGCAGGGGCTGCCACAGAAGTGTGCTCACTGGTGCTTGACTGAGAGAAGGAAAAGAGCTGGGTGAAAATCAGTGTTTGGAGGATGCTGGGGGAGCCAAGGGGAGGGTTACAAAGCGGGGGATGAGATCAGATATCTTGCTCACCTTTTGCCTGATCAGCATCCTGAGCATCTGGTCTGCAAAGTTCTGTTTCTCTGAGATGGTGGGAGTGATGACAGAGTTTAGGGCAGTTTCCAGCTGCCTACTGGTTGGCTCTTGGCCTGGTTTTGTTCTATTTCTCCTTTTTCCTGTTTGCAGCAGGAGGGGAAGCTGCTGTAGGCTCAGGGCATGTAGCAGACACTTGGTGCTGCTTGATGGAGGATTATCACCTGATAGCAGGGTGATTTTTGGAGAATGCACTTTGCTGCACAAGCCACTATAAGAAAGGGACCAGAATGTAAATATCTTTTCTGGAAAGAGATGCTTCTGTGAGGGAAGCACTTTGGTGACTCTTGTAGCATCAGTGGGATAGAGCTGCAAGAGTTGTCTTATACTTTTCATAGTTTGAGGATTTGGTTTTCCTTGTTCACGTCTTTCTTAGCCTCAATCATCCACTTCTCTGTGCTGCACTGAACAAACAGGGTGAAGTGGAAATAGTCTTACAGAGTTATGTCTATACAGACTTCAGACTCTTGGCTGTGGAGAAATTAATGCTATCGGTAACTGCTTAGTCCAGCTTTGCTTTTGCAGTATGTGGAAGTTGCCAAAGTTGTTGATCTCTTGTGTCATCCTTTATCTTCTTTAAAACTCAAGCCATATCCCATTATTCCAGAGCAGAGGCATCAAGGTATCTGTAAATCAAAGAAGACTCTGCCTATTTCTTGGTAACACACAGAAGCAAGTGAAAACAAAAAGCCAGGAGGCGCAGGGTAAATGTTGCACTAGAATTCAGGAAAGATTGGGACAAAAATTCCAATTCAGTTGCTCAGGGAAATTGGATTATCAAATATAATTGTGTTAAGAACAATAGTATTCATTATACTTGGCACTGAAAAGCCCTGGGCAGAAACCCTAGTTATTTAGAGCCTCATCAGGCATCTATGGAAGGAAATAGCAAGCTCCCACTGGCCTCTCTGGGTGTGAGATTGAGCCCTATGCAAACAAATATTGATCCCCGAGTACCAAGAAAAGGGTGACTTTAACCTAAATCTGTGTCAGACATATGGGCTGAAGTATCATTCATTTCCACGCATCCTTGTTGTAAATACTGGCTAAACCCAGTACTTCTTTTACTATTTTGTGCCTTCTTTGCTCATCTCACTGTGTGCCCCTGTTCATTCTTGTTGCTCAGACCATTTTTGATGGATTTCTTACGTCCCCTCTCTTCAGTGGTGCAGTTGTGTTCATGTAGCGTTTCAAACCGATTGCTTTTCACTGCAGCAGTTTCCCCTGAAAACAAATGTTCCCCTTGTGTCTTTCCTGTCAAGCTCTGCAAGTAAACACAAGGTATCACTGACTTACTCTTTCAAAGGACCCAGACATTTAATGCAATGACCAGATGCTCGCGTTCGTCTTGGTGAAAATACTTTTGGTTGAGAGAAAATCAATCCCTTGTTGGTTTTCGAGAAGGAGGCAGTGTTTTAAAACCAACTGCATGTCAGTTTTGATGATGGAGATCAAATTGATGGAGCTGTTTTGTTTGTGCTCTGGAAAGCACAAAACTTCATTAGGCTTCTTGCACCATATGGCTTCTCTATTTTCCCACTCCTTCAAAGGAGAAAAACCCCTCTTATTCCAGCTTTACTGCTAACACCAAACATGTAAAAGCACGCAGGTGTCAGACGTGGGCAAGGTGGTTACGATATTAGATCTAGAACAGCATTAAATGATTCATGAAGCACTAGGACTTAAAAGAATATAATTCATGTTGACGTGAGAGCATTCTGGAAATTTAATCAATAATATCTGGAAAATATTCAGTAGCTGATTGCAAAGTTTTGGAGTTGTGCTGTATAATTCTAACTGAGGTCTGCCACACCACTGGCGAGTGAGGAACTGTCACCCCAGTGTTATTTACATGGAGGCTGCAGCAGAATAAAGTGATGGTTTAGCCAAATCCTACAGAGAGCTGTGACTAAATTCAGCAGTGTCCCACCTCTCTGCCTGCTTTCAGTGCTATGTAACTCTTACTAATTTAACTTTTACTAGCCACAGTATTCCATAATAGCACAGAGAACCAGCAGAAATCTGGGATGTTGTACAAAGGAATGACAAGGTCAGTGGATCCTCCAAGACTGGGGGGTCCTGCAGACGTGGCAGAGATGAGCTCCCTGGCTGGACTCTGTGAGATGTAATAATTCAAATATAAGACTGTTTGAGTGTCCCTTTGTGGCTTCAGGACAGGTCTTCCTTGCAGCCAGCCAGCTCAGTGCACGAGCAGAGCAGGCTTAGGTGTGCCTGTGCACGTCTGGAGACAGGAGTCCAGCTTGCCTGGCTGGAGAACCTCTCAGTCTGGAAGTGCAGATGAGATGGATTGCAGTGATTTTACAGATGGTAACTGAGATAAAGGCAGACCAGGTGATTAGGCCAAGACCACATAAAATAGGAGCTGAGGCTCAGAGTTGAGTCTAAATCTCTTAAATCTCTCCCTAAAAGACGATTCCTGCTTCATAACACACACTAAAGTCTTTACCTCCTAATCTTGCGTCTTCCTAGCTGCTCTTTTGGAAGTGAATCTTCTCTTATTCTGGGATTTTGATCATCATTCTCAAACAAAGGCTTTGCCAACCCAGATGGTAGCAATTGGTTTCTGCCCTGCTTATTTCCCCATCTTCCCAGACTGCAGGGCCTGGATCCCAGAGATCCAAGGAATCCTGCTCTAATACAGCCCTGTGTGAAATGTAAGCCAGTAAAAGCAGATTACCAATATAAGTCAAAACTACAATTTCCTCTCTTAGCTATCCTTAATAGTTTTTGTGGCTCACCACAAGATTTGGGATGCCAATTACACTGCAGACGGATTTACAAATGCTGGAAGAGGAACTTTAATCAGTATTTAATTACATTGCAGTTATTAAGTACAATGGTTCCTTATTTTGGAGAATTATGTGTGGCTCATCAAAACAAATGTGCTATACCTTCCCCAAAAATTATGTTTACAATGGTGCTCATTAAATCTTATCTTTTTTCCCCTCAACTGAATTAATTCTAAAGGTGTGAAAAGTAACTTTATTTAATTTATAGATGGTTGGTTGGAACC